TTTCATTCAGTGCTGCAACTGCATCTTGTTAGTATGATGAGTGCAGTGGAAAAGGAAAAGGTATTAGACACATGTAGTATGGTGCAGCTAAAGAGAGGAGAGGAAAATAAAATTAGTGGTAAAAACAAAAATAAAAATGGGAAAATTTTAAATTTTAAAGTTTTTTAAAAAATTTGTTAGAATCGGAGAATTTTGAGAGAAAAAAAAAAACTACTATCTCCATCATCTCGTTGTTGACATAGTGGGAATACCTATAAATAAAATTTGAAACTAATAATGTAGTGTGTAAAGGAGCAGTCGTAAAAAAGTAGCAAGTATTAATAAGGTCAAAGATTACAAAAAAAAGACAGAAAATTTGAGGGCGTCCGCACGCGTTTTCGTGAAATTCTGCGTTGATTTTCAAGGCAGGAGCCACGACCAACGTGGCTTTGATATAAATACTTTGTAATCGTATAATTCAACCTATTTCTCTCCTCACTAATCTTTAACACGTCGACCTACTTCTCCCCACTCACTAATTTCTAGCAGATCTACCGAATTCTAAATAATTCTATACTGCCTGCCTTCTTACTCACTAACTATCTTGCCCTCTTTTTCCCTCCATTAAGTTTCCCTATAATAAACTCCTTCTGAAAACCCAGGTTCTTAGTTTTGGGGTATCAGCAAGCGCCATTTGTCAGCCACTACTTACGCTACTAGCTACTCGCCTCAACACCATCAGCGTTCTCCTGCTGAACAGCTTGTGCGGCGCCCCGGCTCGTCGTTTTACTCGTTGTTTTATTCGAAGCGAAGCTTTTTTTGAAAAAAAAAAAATAAAGTGTCTTCCGCTGCTGCAGTCAAGGACCACGTGAGGACTTAATAACTTTGCTTAGTCGCGACTTTATTGCGAAGAAGTTTGAACATTTTTTAAACTAATCTTTAGTCTGATGGGAAATCTTATTATTAGCATTTTTCATTCATGGCAAAAAAAAAATGATACAGCTGTTTTAGCAAGCAAATGAAGAACTCAGAAAGAGGGAAGCGGCGGCGAATGCTGATGATAATCAGTTATCAACAGAACAAGCTGAAGTAAACGGTACCGCTGCGAATAGCAAAGGAGCTGCAAATATTGCTTCCTCTACGGCCAGCGAGGGCGGAATTA